CATAACCTGAAACTGAGCTGGACAAATTCTTTGCAAGCAGTGTAAAGAAGAGCATTTGTAGAAATAAGGTGTAAAGGGGAAGAATTACAAGGTTTGTGAAGTCCTCTGAAAGAGTCAGCCTGGGGACAAGGGAGATCCAGCTGACAGGCTGCTCAGGTTTCTGAAAGGAATTCAAATTTGTTTCTCCAAAGGCTCCTATAGAGATTTGGCTGTTAGAGGTTTGGAGGGAAGAGCATTATGCACAGAAATACAAGAAGGGAAGGGTAGGTATATATATATCTATAGTCTGTTTTCTCAATGGAGGGAGGCTACCGGTAGATCTGTGCTGTTTTACATAGACCTTAGTGATCTATAAAAGGGAATGAAGAGCAGGCTGACAGATTTTAGTGACACTAAGCTACTCTTATATACACTGTATAGCAAAAGTAAAAGCGGATTGCAAAGAGCTGTACAGGGACTCAATACTAAGTGATCAGGCAATAACAAGGCACATGAAATCACATGATATAAAGGTAACACAATGGGGAAGTAAAGCAATCTTAACTTTACACAAAGAGTTATGAGCTCTGGGTATTTTCATTCACAAAAGAAATGCTGGAATTACACTAGCTAGCTCCCTGAAAACTTCATCTCAGTTTCCAATGGTACTCAAGAAAGGAAAGAAAAAATGTTTGGAGTTACTGAGAAAGAAAAAGAAAATAAAACAGAGACCAGGATGCTGCTATAAAAATCCATTTGTGTGGTCACACCTTGAGTACTGGGGCAAGCTTTGATCTTGCCACCACAAAAATGCTACATCGTTACCGATTAGTACATCATAAAGACCAATTCAGTACACGTGTCAGCTGTTTCCTGAGCAAAATTCCACATTGCAATAAGGATGAGCCCATCTTCTTAAGGACACTTAACTCTTCTACAGCACTTGTCATCCAGGGATCTCAAAGCATTTTACAAAGGAAGGTAAGTATCATCAAACTTGCTTTATAGCTGGGGAAACTGAGACCTAGAGCAGCAATCTAACTTGTTCAAAAGTAAATAGCTGATGAAGGCAGAGATAGAAGTGAACTCCAGGTCTTCCTATCAGCTCATACACCCACTTATGCCAGCAGTTAATTGATGGTGGTGAATTATTTTCAACGAGACCCAAAAAGTAGAGGTTAGAAAGCTGTTCAGTTCTCAAGCACAAGGGAAAAAATCTATTAAAGTGGAATGTAAGGTCTGAAAAAACCCTAAGTATTTGATATTTGATCTGCCTGTTTGAAAAACTGAGAATTTAATACAATTTTAGCTCTGAGAAATATTGCAGAGCAGTTCATATCTGGGGTCAGTTCACAACAGTAGTTAGTGAGAAAAAAAGCAGCTCAGTTAACTGCCTCTGGTGCCTATTTTCTGAGGTCCATCCTCTGATCTTGCTGTGTTTTCATGGTTCACCAGTTCTTTGACAGGGATTACATTTAAAATTGCACATAAGAAATGTATTTTTCTTAATAAAATCAGGCTGAAATTCAGTTCCCTGGCATGTATTTCCAACCCTTTGCCCCTTCTTTACCTTCAGAGAGGGATATATGATTAAAACTTGGTTGTGCCACTCTGAGGAAAGATACCAGAATTAAAAAAACCACTAATTTGAAGAGAAAATACCTAACAGTGTATTTTTCTAGTGCTATCAGAAATCAAATTTTGAAGCATCCAATGTACTGGATAGTTAGATCTCTCCTGGGATATGTTCAAGCCAAAACCCATTCAGGAATGAAACAAAGAAGGAGGATTACCTACGTTTTCTCCCTCACATTTTTTGTCAATAAAAATACAGGTTTCTCACCCAATATTCAGGATCAGCATTTATACCCAATTTCCTTTGCCTCTGAAATTGCCTCTGAAATTGCCTCTGAAATTGTTTCCCTATTTTCAGCCCAAGTCAATGTTCAATGTTTTCGTAAAGACAAGTAGGAAAGCAATCAAACACGTCTCTCTACTGTGTTGTTCAAAGTTTTTGTACCCTGAGATATAACAGAGAATAATACGGTTTAAGGATGGACTTGAGGACTGCTACCATGATCAAAGGGCTTGATTTTTGGCCAGCCTGCTTTTCCCAGTGAAACTCAGAACTTCTCCATGACCCGTTTCTTGGTGTTATGCTATCTTGTGCTGCAGCAGTTCAATGCATAGAGGCAAGAAAATGAAAAATCAAAATCAGTGGAAGTAATTTTTGACAGACAAAATCCTCCTATCTTTTAAAAAGACTCAGCATCTTTAGAAGCAGGTTTTAGCCCTCTGGAACTAAGAATATTTACCAACAAGAGCACTCGAATCGTATTGCCCCTGGCTGATATAATGATGCCTCTTGAACACGTAATGATGCTACCTTTGTCTAACAGACAACCAAAACTCAGCTGAGCTGTACACTGGGCACTTGGCTCTTAACTAACTAAAGTGGGTGGAACCAATTTTACCTGCCACAGTCTGAGTGCTCGCATGTGGACAGGAACTGTAATTTGATGGAATTTTTAGACTTTTAGCTTTTAGTGTGAGCCCTCTTTTGGAAATAACATTAATTTCTTCTAGTAACATTCATGTCTCTCTCTCTTTCCAGCAGTACACTGGGATAGTTCTCTCACAGAATTGTCCTGTATGTTCTTTCATAAACCATGAACTTCAGTTGAACATTTTAATTCTTCATTAGTTCAAATCCAACTCATTAGCTGTGACTTAAAGAGGTCACAGAGTTGTACTATTTTTGAAATCTTTGTGTCTTCCCCTTCTGGTGACCATTGTTCACTGGAGGGAAGAGGAAAGCAGCACTTTGCCCCCATCTGTGTTAAGGCAGAGGCATACTGACACACTGGGAGGGGGTGATGTTTGCCTGTGCTGCCCTGAGTACATGGCAGACATCAAACTTCAGTGCTCTTAATCCAGCATTTCTCACAGCACCCTTGAAAGGGTCAGTAACTCTAATAATAATAAGTGATGCTTGAGTCATTATATACGATTTGATTTTGTTCGTGTAAGGATCAAAAAATGTCAAGTTGCCTGTCAAGTTGCTTTAACACACTATGGAGTTGTGTATTTTAATTATAAACACAAGACTCAACTGTCAGTTTAAAAAAAAAGGGAGGGGGGCACATTTTAGCAATCAGGAGCGCATTGTAACAGGAGTTTTCAGATTTGCCTTTTAGACCATAATTCCAGAGAGTGATTTTCCTCACCCAGCAGCGCTTTCTGATGGGAGTAACCATAAGGAGAGGGAAGGAAGGGCTTGCCCTTATGTTACTTCTCTAAATTATATCAGCTGCTTTCCACCCCACAGTGCAATTACTGTTGTTACCTCATTAATGGTTTAATTAGAGCTGAAGTGTAGGCCAATATAGAAAGGTTCAATACATGATGTCAGTCCAGGGCAGTATAGTTATTGGCTCAGTTTAGAGGGCTCTCAAGGCTGCTCTAAATTAGAGGCAGATATAATGACCTCTATATAAAGAGGCAGCCTCCAGCTGTACCTCCATTTGCTGTGCCTCTTTGGGGTCTTTAAATAGAAAGTGCTGTTCTGGGGAGAAAAAAGCTATTTTCATTACTCTAAGTTACCTATGGTATCTGCCAGACGTGCTATGCAAGGATTTTACAGACCTTGTTGACTAAAGGGGTTATGGTAGATTCACAGACTTCTAGGCAATGATGTGAAAACTAAATGCCCTGAGTACTGCAAACATGCTACCTTGTGTTGTCTAAATAGGATTTGTTTGTGAGTTAGTCTCTGTATCAGTAAGTCAATTTACTGTGAGGCTGTTTGTGTTTTTGGGATGGCTCCCTTGGTGACGCACAATTATATAGTGTGTATCACACCAATTGTATTTGTCTCCTTAGAACACAAAGAAAAGAATTTTTACATAAAAACGGACTCCTACTAAGTTTTTTCTCTTTTCAGCTATGCACAATATGATCTGTTTGCTGCATCTTAACAATTAACACAGAAATTAACTCTCCTGATTTCAGGTTAGGAAACATTCAGATTAGTAGCTGGCTTCCTAGGCAACAGAGAAGCTTTTTTCATGCTGAATCACATGAAAGGCACAGCACTGACAAGGTGAGAGCGCAAGGCTTCTAAGCCTTGAAAAAGCTGGCAGTGGCTGCCTATATTCTGGGGCATTTACACCTTCTCCATGGGTGCTGGAGTGGCATAAGGGACAGCTATACCAAGTCTTGGTTCCCTAACAGAGGGGACCCCACTGAGCACTGTGAATTCTCTGTTAGGACATCTGCCTCCTTCCTAGGGGGCTTTTACCGCAAACTGAGTGGAAGAGTAGAATCGGGTTTTTCAGCATTGTCCTTTCTAATAGCATTGATCTTTTCGATCCCCACCCAGTATTTTCTGGGAAAGCATCACTGCACTTTAGTTGAAGGTTCAAAACAGTTTATGAATGGGCTTCCTTCTTCCTCTGCCTACTGTTCATTTGCACAGGAGACAGAGTGTTGGGTAAACAGATAAACAGCCTGTTAACTGTAGGCGGCACCGAAAAGGAAACTTAACAACAGGAAAACTAACAAACAAATACACAGCAATGATGGGGATGTAGAAGATGTAGATGACTGTACAAGGAGATACAACTCCTTACCATGATTACTACATCTTTCTAATCAATGTGCACGATGGAATTGCCCTAGTTCTCAAGAGCCTCAAGTGGATGAGCAGATATTGTAATGTACCTCCTGTTTTTGAACATTTTTCTTTCCCACATCTCAAAACATCGTACAAAGGCAGGCAAACAGCATTACAGAGCAAGGAGGAAAGAATGGCCTAAGGTCAAGGAAACAGCCAAAAACAGATCACTGCAATTCTGACTTGCAGTTGTTAGCTTCTGTGGCAACTTCAGAGAACAGCTGAAGATGTTTGACCTTGTTTGTGCCTTAGTTTACATAAAAGTAGATGTGGAACATCACAGATGCCTATCAAATTATCCCTCAGTGGGAGATGGCAGTGTCCTTCCACCCACATACATGCTTACCAGAAGAACAAGAATCACTGGCCCTTGATATATGTAGTCAATATATTTCCCTGGCTCTTTTCCAAACCAGCATCTGTAAGACACAAAACAAATAAGAAAATAATTTATAAAGGGGAATGCATTTCTATTAGATTGTAATATCAAGGACACCATAGAGAGATGTTCCCTTATTCCCCGAGTTGTTTAATCATATACATAATCAGCACGTGATTGAGTTGTCTGCTACAAAGCCACCTTCAGTTTGGACACGGATCTGAGCCCCATTTTCTCGTCCCATTGGACCATTCGAGTTCCCACTATGTTTTTGGCTATTGCTCGTGTGAATATTTCCAAGAAATGTGAGAACCTGCTGTAAGGAGGGTGCAGAAGATGTGTCCTGCTGGGTCTGAAAAAGGGATGAAAGAAATATCTGTGTAAGGCAAAAAAATCTGTTATCTATTGCAGTGCCCAGAGACACTTAAATTCCATAAAGTAAGGGCTGTTACTTACAGCAAATATGTCTCAAGTTGCATGGAAATGCTGTCTAAATAAGGTACTGGATGAATAAGGAGTTCATCCCATTGGCTTTGAACCAAGCCATTGACCACCAAATCCAGTATACAGTACAGAGACGTCATTTGAAGCTAGCAAATACCTGATCCAACATCACCAAAGGGAAATCAGCTCAGGTTAAGTGAAACCACAGGTAAACTGAAGGGCCTCAAACTAGCAGAGAGCCTGGATGTGTCATGTGTGACTGAGTGCTGGCTTGACTTCCACTAATTACAAGTGTTTCTCTCCCTGCTGTGTTATACAACAGACTAAGCCTGTGATTTCACAGCAATCCATACTGACGTTCACTTCATTCTCTTAACTGAGAGTAATAAATCAGTTATATTTATGTCAGGAAACGAATCAGAAACCGGGTTCAGGTCTGGACTCAATCATTTACACCATTACATTTTCCTTGGTGCAGTTTTGGCCCCGGCCAACCAATAGCCAACTCCGAAACTACTCCTGGGGACCAAATCTGGAGCTAGCATGAGCCAGAGGACATTCCCAATAGTCTACAAACTGCAGCTACCCTGATTTGGAGGCCAAGAGGGTTTAGTAATATAGATGTGAACTATTCCATGCTATTTGGACTCCAGCCCCAGCAACGATTCCAGGCCCAGCTAATTTATTATTACAGATACAGCCACATGGTCTGGATCATGGTTCCACGAAGCAGAGACAACTTTGCTATCATAATGTCTTAAGGTTTAGGTCATTGGAGCTCCAGATCCCTTAGGAAGTAGATTGTGGAGTTCAAGGGTCTGAGAGTTTTCTTCCCTTTTGTGGATACCACATAACAAGTCTACACAGCAAAAATTATGCCTTCCCTGTGTTCGCTTTGTGACAACAGATAAGCTTAGTGCCACTGGAGACATGAAAACAAGGGCAATTCCTGAGCCAAGGAGACCATGGAGACAGGTGCAGATTTGCTCTTTTACAAGCATGCAAGAAATAACACTTGTTGCCTCAAAGAGTTTGCAGTCTGTAAGACATGACCTCACGAGTTCAAGGCAAATAAATGGAGATAAGGAAAGCTACGGTTCAGATGGAATTCTTTTGAATCACATAATGCCCCCAAAGCCTTTCTCCAAAATGTGTTGCTTGCTAAAACAGAAGGAGCTGTTTGCCCACCGCAAAACGCTCTTACTGAACTGACTGTACAGAAATGTTGAGATATGCAGCAGGTATCTAGGAACACAATTCAGTATCACACAATTGTTTGCCTTTTCTTGATTCAATTTCTACATCTTTTAAATTCCAAATGAATGAGAGAGCTTTGAATATTTTATAAATATAAAACATGTCTGTTATTCCCTAGTGTACTGACTGCAAATTAGTGTAAATTGATAATTTTGTAACTAATCTTCCAACATTTGGTGATGAGAGCAAAACTTGGAATAAGGTACTTCCTCCAGCCAAGTTATTATCCAAGAATAATCCCCAGGGCAGCCTCAAATGAATGAAACTGAATTTTTTGAGTTTTTGTTACAGAGATGGAAAGATATGAAGAAAAATTAATTACAAGATATGCCAAGGCAGGAAACACAACTCTCCAGAACTTGCAAGACCTACATTTGAAAGAGGTTTTTGAAGGGCATTTTGAGAGAACTCATATATTGCCTGAAACTCAGAGAACCAAGAGCTATTAGAATAGGAGTTTCTGGGAAGCTGGCTATACTAGCAGAGGAATCTAGCAGGGGGACTAATAAGAAGCAGACTGAAGCATGTGGCAGAACTTAGTGGGCTAGAAGTTAGCAGAGAATTTGGAACAGAGCTGGTAGAGCACAAATGAGGTTCCAGGGCAAAGGCTGCTCATTGCTCTTTGGAATTTAGATATTGCTTAACTGTAAGACCATAGTAAAGAGCAAAATGCTGACATTTATTATCTGAAGCCCAGTATTAGACCAAGGTTGCGTTCAGTGAAGCATCATGTGTATATACACACTTTCACACAATTTGAAGAAACAAGTGTGGTCAAAGGTAGACTGCTACAACACAGGCATCTACAGGGGAGCTTGATGCTCCAGGTTCCCTTTGTAGTTAGTGGAGAAAAAAAAGCAGCTTTTCTAGGATGGTGTTCATCTCATTAGGCTATAAAATGGATCTGTTACATTGTAATCTAAACATTTCTAAAATACCCATTAAATCAGGCAAGTAAAGGTGAGAGGACAGATATTTGCCAGTGACATTACACATGTCTGCATTTGATCAGCTATATTTCATATTTACAGTCTTAACTGTTCAAACTGGGACCTTAGCTGAGGTATTGCAAACTTTTCTGCCTGTCATCTTAACTCTTACTTTAAATCCAACATAAGCCATTATTTCTGCACTGAAAACAGCACTGCACTTTTCTTTAAACCCAAAAAGAGAAACCTAAACCACTGAAAATTAGTTGGTGCATCAGAATTTTAATTCCATCTGTGTGAAATAAAAGCAATTTTCTTTTTTTTTTTCTTTTTTTTAACCTCTGAACGAATAAACAAACACTCCCTGAATATTGAAGAGGACAATTTAGGAAGACAGTTCTGATTAGACTCAGATACGTAAACACACTTCTATTGAATAGCACTAATTAATATTCTTCATGGTTGTCTGATAGTTCTTTATATAACAAAAACCACCACTGGTTTTATCATTATTGTTAATTAGATCTTACTAATGTTATTCCCCTTACCAACTGTCCATCAATGAAATTACTGCAATAATTCTTACTCATTTGTGTGGCTTTTTTATTGAGACTTAACAGTACTTTTTTTCAGAGTTGTCAGATTTTGCTAAAGAACTGCTAAACACCAGACAGGATATTTGCCACTGTACCAATTACATTTGCCTCACTGTGCAGAACACAGTCTCTAGTAAGTACAAAAATGAATAAATTAAGAAGTTGGTTGAAGCATTTTCTTAACATGCTTCCTGTGTGCTATTTTGAGCTTTTAAAGTATTATGAGCTACATAACTTGAACGCCAGGTCAACCTCCAAACAACTTAAGTTACAGTTGAAATGCATACTCAGATGAAGAAGAGGAGTTTCCCATTTTGTCCCGAATTTTGGGCTGTCCACTGGGATATCCAAACAGTCTTGGAAGCTGCAGAAGAGTACGTGTTTTCCGCATGTGTCCAGTTTGCTAGGTCTGACCTCATGGGGGAATAACGCATGATTTCCCCAGCAGTCAGGATAAATGGAGCACAACAGCTGGGCTGACTAGGGAGATCAGCCTGTTTTCACAGAATAGCTGAGGTTGGCAGGGACCTCTGGAGACTGTCTAGTCCACCCCCCTGCCCAAAGCAGAGTCAGGTGAAGCAGGTTGCTCAGAGCTGTGCCTAGTTGGCTTTTGAGTAGCCCCAAAGACTCCACAACTTCCCTGGGCAACCTCTTCCAGTGTTCCACCACCATCACAGTAAAAAGGTGTTTCCTGATGTTGAGATGGAATTTCATGTGTTTCAGTTTGTGCCACTGCCTCTTGTCCTGTCACTGGGCACCACTGAGAAGTGTCTGGCTCCACCTTCTTCATACCCTCCTATAAGATATTTATAAGCATTGATAAGATCCCCTTGAGCCTTCTCCTCTCCAGGCTAAACACTCTCAACCCTCTCAGCCTCTCCTCACATGAGAGATGCTCCAGTACCCTGACAGCAATTATTTCTCAAAGCCAGGGATTAGTTTTATCTCATCTGTCTCTATTTGCACACGCTTACAGAATTCAAATTAAAGGCATGATTTCTATATCATCCCAGCACAGAAAAAGGATTTTGTCAATGCCACAAAGTTTAGTCTAAACTGTCTCAATGGCTGATGGACTGGAGAGGAGAATAGACCATAAGTAAGTTAAACACACACGTGCACATCTCACACACATGTGCATTCCTACATGTGCTTCAGTTTGACTGTTTAGCAGAACCTGCTCCTTTCCTCAGTCTGGGAGGCAGTGAGCAGGGGCTATCTGAAGTATCACATGCTTTAATGCTTGAGAAGATGACTGGATATTTATGACAATTGACAGGCCCTCAGCAAGTTATTAATCTCGTTTTGCTTCAGTTCATTTACTTTACTGAGTCTCCTCTGCATATGACATATTGCTACAAATGCAAAAACCAGATTTCATTTTACAGCCTTTGCCTTACAGCTTAATGCCCTTATCAGCTCTTCATTTACGAGAGCTCTGCCTGGGTGCATGTGCTAGATCAAAGGAATGGCACTATTGAAGCATCCAGTCTCGATTCCTCAAGCAGAGTAAAGTACATGAATCTTGGCCCCACCGCTGACAGTAAGCGAGCACAACACGGAGGCTCCAGGCCATTACTCCTCACACTGTGGTGGGCAGAAGCCAAATCCTGCACTTTCTCAATGCACAACACATTTGGAATAACTATTGATGTGCAGTGAGGACGTATGTGAATGTTTCACTCCAAGGCAAACACCAGCATTAAAGACAGAAAGGTGAAAACATCCCAAGACATTAGATTTAGTTGCCTGGGTCAACCAAGAGCAACCTGGTGCCTCCCTTATCAGTAAGCATGTGAGGCAAATTATGTATATGAGTTAGAGTGTACGGGTTTGTCCATGACACGGATTTAAAAGCACAAGCTCCATTTGATAATCCACCCAAGCAGAGAGCTTGAGCCTAGAGACTCAACAGGAACATCCTGGATATTCTGCACACCAAATAGGATCACTTTGTCTTTCTTGCCCTGCTGACTGTATTTTGTGTCCCCCTTTCTTTTGTTGTGCAGGATCTGGGCCAGTTACACCTTCGCTGGTGAAAGGTGGCACACATACCTATGTAAACATGTCATGTCTTTCTTCATATCCATGATACATCAAGGAGAGATTCTTTCACATTCACTTCGGGGGTATACAATGGTGGTGAAAGGAGGCAGTGGTACAGATCATGCAGTGGTTTCTCCATCTACCCACCTTGTGTGTAGTGCAATCCCAGTTGTTGTGGCATGTTTCTATCAGGGGTCCTACTTTCCATTATTTCTTTTGGGAGTGATGAGCAGTCTTCCAAAATGAGGTGTTCAAACCTTGGTGTTGAACTCACTCACAACAGGAGTGTTTAATGTGCATCGCCATTATTAAAGCATGTGGTGTTTTGCCTCTCCAGGTTTCAAGACACAAGTTTTGGTTATTTTGTTTTGGTTATTTTGTTTTGTGCTGTTTAAGCTGACTAGTTCCTTCAGCTCTAGTTCTAGAGCTGAAAGTCCTACTTCAGCACAATGAGATAACTGCCAGGCTGCCCTGGCTTGTGCAAGGTAACAACTACAAGGAACCTGACCATGAAGCAGACCCAGAATGTTGTGATCCTTGACCCATCCAGAAACAAGAAGGTCTGTGAACACAGAAATTAGGGAAATCTGGTGATCTGAGGTTATCTCCCAGGGCTGATTGACTCAGACACCCAAGGAACAGGTTCCAACTGAAGTTTTTCTTGCCATTTTGAGGCTACAGTATGAATTCTCCTGTATGATTATTGTAGGCAGGGATGGAATCACACAAATCGCCCTCAGTGAAAGGGTGTCTGTCTGACTGCCAATATGTGTAACTCCTGGGAATTAGATTATCACCTTCAAAGTCACCATTAAAGCTACAGAAGAGAGACTGGTCAAGGGTTCAAAAGTTTGTGGGGAGCAGAGAAGAAGAACTTAGTAGTGCGTAACAAAATTCCTCCCATGCCTTCAGCATGGATGCCCAAAGCTCAGAGTCATCCCATCCACCTCCCTTATAGTCAGGAGAAATAGTGCATGTAAGTCTAGTTCATCCAACCTACTTTGGACATCTCCTTCCAGATGAGATGAAATGCACCCCAGATTGTGTTTACGGTTTTGACTGATCACCAGTGATCATAAGAGACCACAGATTAGTGCAGATGCAGACACCTACAAGGTAGGCACTTATGTTTAATCAGATGAGATACAGACAGAGAGACAAACAGTGTGGTCATATGAAAAACAGATTCATGGAGAAAAGATTTTTTTTAAGGTTAGGGAGGGGAGCTGTAACAGATAATAGACATTGATGCAAACACTAGTTGAAAAGTACAAGCTGAGCTATATCTGACCAGTATCGATGTTAGGAGGGAAAATTCCCAAAACACAGATGCCTCTTTATCTCCCATATTTTTCAATTTCATGCACTAACTGCTTCCAATTGGAAAAGCCAGAAACAGAAATGCAAAAATTCCAGCCATAAGAGTATTCTTGGCAGACTGTCAACTGAATGCTGCACACCCAGAAGGCTAAATCCTTTAGCACTCAGCTGTAGTTTTTACCAAGGTCTGACTCAAGCAAAACTCCCACTGAAGGAGATTACCCTGACTGTAAATTATGTATAAAGCTATCAGATGAGAGCTTCATGGCTTGGCCAAGGATATTTGGGAAAGGTATTTTCAGGAGTTGACTCAAGTAGTGCTCTGAAATTTGAGATGGTCTGGATTTGGATGGAGGTCATGTGACCTTTCTTCTTTCCTATCAATCTGCCTTATTTCTAAATTACCAGTTCAGCCTGCAGGCATTCCTTAATTTATTTAGAGAGCCACATAAACAGAAATGTTAACAGCACTTACTGTTCATTTTCGTAATATAGCTTGCCAATGGCCCAGGCAATGATGATTGGGCAAGGAATACCTGCAACAGCAAAAAATCAGGAGTTAATCACAACTCACGGATGGACGGATGATACAGATGTAGATTCAGATTTGTGTGAGGAGAGTCTTGGTTAATGAACTGGAACAGTCTAAATACAAGTGGTCCTATCTTGGTATATTTGACACATGGCAATTGCTAAGACCTTTTTATGTATATATACAAAAGATCATCTCAAAAAGAGAAAACTCTAGTACCAGTAAGAAAAGTTAATAAAATTATTAACAAACACACATATATACCTATATTTCTATATAAGTGACCAGAACAATTTTGGCTGGCTTAAAGGCAATTTTGGTCCCTTTTAATTTTCCTGCAGTTGATACGACAAAACCTTAGAGACATCACTTGGAAGTGGGTGTTTAGATTTTTATTTCCCAGGCTGCAAGGAGCTTGTAAACTTATTGGGCTTTTTGGATGAAGTCCATTTTCAAAATCGTCAACAATTTTTTCAGTTGAGTCTTCCCTGTGAAACAGGATTATGAGGAGGAATCTCTTGATATCTTGCAATGTCAGAATTCATTCAGTGTTTGCCCTTTCTAAAGGATCGAGCTACTCTTAACTTTACATATATCATTCTACCGATGATGTGCAGTGTGCTCTGTGGCTGCATGTGAGTTCTTATCAAGGCCATGCATTTTGCTTTACAGGGCTTGCTTTCTCAGTTATACCCAGAAGGTGCTACAGTAGTGCTCCCTGGGCGTGCAACCTCATTGCAGTAGATGAGGTGCATTTGTACACTTAGTATCCCTGCAGTGCCATATCCTCTGCTTTCCAATTCTATTGTTATACCAGTCTCATGTCCAGAGAGTGGTTTGTTTTGTGTTAGGCCTTCAGAGTCCAGCTGGTTTCAGGGGGATTTGCTGGAGCAGGAAACTGGAAATGAGGAAGAGTAAGTGGAGCTGGCCTTTTGACACAGACCTCCTGGGGGAAACAGGAACCTTTTCACCCAGGCATTCCCCAAGCAAAGACTGGATTGATGTCAAAATTGGAGGACGAGAGTTTCCCCTCTCCATTTCCCCTTCACCTTTAACCTGTCAACTCAGGCAAAACCAAACAAGACGAGCCTCTCCAGCTCCATCCCTCATTCCAATCTCCAGGTTCACGTCCCTCTGAAATCACTGCTACTCTAAGGTGAATTCATGACTCAACATGACTTAAACCCTCATGTAGGAGTCAGCACGGCCTCATATCTAACGCTGCCTTTTAACCTCCTATTTGTTGCCTCTTCTGTGAGAAATGGAGGCTTTAAAGAGATGAACCTGAGTGGAAAGAACCACAACACGGTAGGGAAGGGACTGAATTGCTAAGTGGTCATCTTTAACCTCAGCAAGAAGTATAGTGCAGCTCTGATCTCCTGCACCACCACCCCTGGTGGCTCTTGTGCCCTGCAAGTGATTGTGTTGTCTTCCATCTTGTTCACCATTGACTCACAAGGTCTGGCACACTTGTTTCCCCCATGTTCTTGCTAGGCATGTAACAGACAAAATGTGCCATGTCCTTTCTCGTAGAGGAAAACACCTTACTTTTCCTTGTGAAGCGAAGAACAGGGATTTGAGAATGAGGATGGTAAAAGATCACGTATGGGAAGGCAAAGCAGAGCCAGAAAGCACCCAAAAGGGTGAGAGGAAAGGTATATGCAGCTCACAACACTCCTACATTAGTAATCAGAGACCCAAGAGGGCTCTGAGAGAGGTAGGGAGGGAAAATACTAGGGACCAAACCAGTCAGGGGATCTTTGAGAGCTGTGTGAGCAGCTGATTTTCCAGTGTGGTGACAAAACTGAAAAATATTGAAAAAAAATTGAATCAATTCCCCACATAAACATTTTCTTTCTACTACAACTCCTCTTTCCTCCCATTTGATTTTGGATTGAATGACATATTTTGTTTTAAAGGCTGTTTCTGCTTTCAGAACTGCAATTCAATTACTTCTGCTCAATTCTGTGAGGAAGAGGAATTTCTGAACAAAATGTCATTCTACTTTCAGAAAAGAAAATATTTGCGACTTTTTTGCACCTTTCTTCTTTCAACAGAAAATAACTGCCAAATTCACTAGTTCTGTTTGACCTCAGATTTTGCATTCAAGCGAACAAGCTGCCTGCATGGGGCTTGTCTTGCCAAACGTCTCCTGGCCAAGTTCAAATCATGGATATATTGGTTGGAAAGGACCTCTGAAGGTATCCAGCCCAATCTCCTGCTCAAAGCAGAACTATCAACACTAGCTCACCTCAGCCAGGGCTTAGCCTTGCTGAATTTTCAATACCTCCAGGGTCAGAGATTCCATAGCTTCTAAGCCATCTGTTCCAGTGTTGCACTACCTTTTTGGTAAATTTTCTGTTCTCTTAATGTCCAACTGGAACCTCCCAGTCTGCAATTTGTGGTCACTGTCCCTTCTTATAGTATCTGCTATTACCAAGAAGAATTTGGCTCCATCATCTTTGTAATTATCCTTCAAATCATTCTTGGTACCTAACAGATCCCTCCTTAGCTTCCTCTTTGCCAGATTAAACAAGCTCAGCTCCTTCAGCCTCACGTAACAGGTCATGTCCTCTAGATCCCTGGTCATATTTTACAGCCTTCTACTGGATAATCTCCAGTTTTTCCACATCCCTTTTGACCTAAGAGACCCAAAACAGAGCACAGTATTCCAAAGGCAGCCTTACCAAAGCTGAGTAGAAAGTATTAGTAACTTCCCTCAGTCTTCTGGCCACACAGTATGTGTTTTACCTTATTTGTGATGAGAAGGCACTGATGGCTTATGCTCAGCCTGCATCCACTGCAAGCCCTACAACCTTTTCAGTAGGACTGCTACTCTGACAGTCGGTTCCCAGCCTGTACTGATAGACCAGCCTATATTGATGCAGCTAGGGAAAAGGAGCATCCTTTGCTCTGGCCCAGGCTGACACAGTAGAAGGGAGGTAACGGCATGCGATGAGCTATTTTTCTGTCTTTGAGTAGCCACAAGGATAGTACAAAGGTGACATGTGACTCTTTGTTAAGGGCTGTTTTCTAGGAACAAACCCCTCAGCAGTCCAGAAGACAGCTGTAAGGTTGGATGGGCAGATAATTAGGCTTCTCTTCTAGTCTGCTCCTCACTTAGAAGCGTCTCATCTGTCTCTTGAGACTGAGTGGTCCACAGGGCACGGACAGTGCCTTTTCTGTTTGCTGCATTCCCAAAATGCTGAGCCTGGGAGTTCTCTTTCTTTCCTTAACACCAGGTGCCTGAGGATCTAAATGAAGAAGATAAATCCAGCAATAACCTATTAGCTTTATGTCATCACCACAGGGAAGAACTAAACCCGATCCCATGTTGTTCTGACAAAGTTAGGTTTGAATGTCAGATATCACCACAGTGGGATTTTTAAAGTTTATTCTTGCTGCTCTTGTCTTTATCACTTTAATGCCAGGTACCACGTAGCACCATTTTAAACACACAAGGCACTTACACCATCCTATGAAGAGAAAGACCCATTTCCGCAGCTTATCTGTGGAATAAGTCATCACTATAGCAGTGTGTAAGTAGCAGCCTTCCACAAACATCCAGAAGAAGTTGGTCACCACAAAATAATTGTAGACAGTGGTAATACATCGGCACCAGGGCTGGAAAGGAAACAGAAAAGCATATTTTAAAATCATGGTGAGAACACTTAAAGAATTCTGTATCTTGTTATTCCCTTGTCCTGGTTTCGGCAGGGATAGAGTTAATTTCCTTCCTAGTAGCTGGTACAGTGCTGTGTTTTGGATTTAGGATGAGAACAATGTTGATAACACACCAATGTTTTAGTTGTTGCTGAGCAGTGCTTACACTAGTCAAGGACTTTTCAGCTTCCCATGCTCTACTGACTGAGAAGGCTGGAGGTGCACAAGAAGCTGGGAGGGGGCACGGCCAGGACAGCTGACCCCAACTGGCCAAAGGGACATTCCATACCATGAAAAGCTGCCCGAGGGGCCGCTGCTCGGGGACTGGCTGGGCATCGGTCGGCGGGGGGGGAGCAATTGTACTGTGCATCACTTTGTGTATTATTATTATTACATTATCATTATTATTATTATCATTTTATTTCAATTATTAAACTGTTTTTATCTCAACCCACAAATTTTACTTTTTTTTCCTGATTCTCTCCCCTATCCCTCTGAGGGGGGGGAGTGAGCGAACGGCTGTGTGGTGTTTAACTGCCTGCCAGGTTAAACCACACCACCCTTAAAAATCAATGGTAGAATTCATTCACTGGATGCAGATTTATACCTGTGACTTGGAATCAGAATATCTTAGGTGCTCACAGCTATGTCTGTGACTTTCTGCTGAGGCCTGGCTTTGACCACAACATGCAGGATCTCCTATACCTGAGCACATCTGGAAAGTTAACATGCCATAAGGCACGTCTACACCAGCAGCCTGCAAGCAGTTTAAGAAGCAGCCGTGTGGAAAGAAGACAAGAGGATGCAGGTCATTTCACTACAGATGATCTTTCAGAGAGGTACAACCATAGCCTAGGGTCGTATCCAAAGATGACATAAGTGTATCTTAGGCAGTATAACCCACCTGCTGAGCAATTCAAAGAAAATAGAACGTAGAAGTTAATGTCACAGTCTTGCTTCATTTTCACTGAAGGGAAGGAGCACCACTGATATTTAGAAAAAAAGATATTTTCTTTAAAGATATGCTTTTATCTGCTACTTCATGCCCTCTATTCCTGCCATTAGTGCTTCAGTCTGTAAGTCACATCACTACACACATCACCTCTGAATTTTGCCATAACTTCAACAGGAATTTTTGGCCAGGCTCAGTGTATCAGTAAAGGCATCTTCTCCTAATGGCTGTGCAGTGAGAGCACAGCTGTGGAATACACAATTAGCCATAGAGAGGCAGATGGTAACATCACATCAATAAATCACAAGTAGCTGCTGATGGTAATTTCCATAGTGCTACACACAGAAGTCTGGGAAAATTTCTTTCTGACCAAGCAGGCATTCAGCGTATTCTCCGAAGCATGACATTAATTACCTATGTTAGCTGGTATCATTGATGTCATTTTAGTTTCACCATTCTCCAGCCTTTTAATTAACTCTACTAAAGTATTTGAAACTTTTGACCCTCAGTTAATTTTATTTCAGATGTCATATGCATGAGGTACTGTTGATCTCTAGGCAGTGAACAGAGCAGCAGATGCATTATCAAACCCAGCAGAATTTTGTGGACTAAGAATGTATTGGACAAGAAACAGAGTTACAAAATGATAGCCCATTCACAAGTTGTGATCACTTCTGCTTGTTGAGCTGAAATAAACAGAAAACGTCTCTTGGATGTGTTAAAGCTTTCGTTTTTGTATTATTTCATTAAGATTTGAAATTTAGTTTGGCTTCATCTTTAAAATAGCATTAAAAACCACAACAACTCAGAAGAAGATGAAACATTTTTTTTTCAAAGTTTTGTTTAAACCAAATGAAATTTTCTTCTTTTTCTCCTTTCGGCCTGAGCAAAGGAAAATAAAACGACAAACCAAAAATATCCCCTATTTTTGGCTAACACCAAACAAATATTTTGGCTCCATTCCTGATTGAACCTCAAACTAGTAAGACTAGGTTTCCAAACACTCTAAGTCTCACATTTGATTTTTCGAAGGTATGAGCATGAATTAAATCATTCCCTGTGGCCTCAGTCTCATGTAAATTCTCTGATATAACATCTAGACTCTTGTTCCCCTCTCTTCCTCAGCTGCAACACTTACACAGTTTTTGTCCTCCCCACAGCTGCCCATTTTCACAAGAATTGTAAAAAAATAATTTTATCTGAGCCTGTTGTTCCTGTGTCAGGACTGAGTGGAATTGGCCGGTGGGTTGGGAAGGTACTGGGACAGATACAGACAAATACACATGATGGTGGTGAGATCTCCCTCTGCATCGTTTCCATAGGAAACCAGAATAAAATGAATTTTGAGCAATTCCTTTTGGAATTGTGGATATATTATTATTAAATAATAAACCTAATTAGCAGAACTCATTAATTTATACCATTTCATTTATTTGACTGAGGATTCCTGATCCCCATATGTATCCACCATCAGGCTCCAGATATCTTCAGCAATTCCCCTTCTTGATTTATTAACAAAAGCTCTACAACTTCATGCAAAATGTTTCCACGTTGAGTCCTTGATGCTTCTGTAACTGCATTATTACTGATCAGCACAGAAGAGATCACATCATTAGCTGGCATAAATGATGTTGCTCCCATTGATTTCAGTGATGTTATTTTGACTCTGACTTATACCACAATAAGAGCATAACAAAGTTATCACTAAGCTTGTATAAAGCACCTTCCCAAAAAGACTGCAGTGTTCTGCAGAGAAAAGATGAGTTAATGAAAACTGAGGCATGTGAGGATCTGTCCTTGTATTTGCAGGTTTATATTTTCCTTGGCACATTGTGGTCACATTTGAAAAGCCATTTGAGTGCCTGACTCCAACTGATTTTTCCTAAATAACTGCAAAAATCTGTATTAAGATTTTCAGTATTGTCATGAGAGTAAATCACGCAGCATAAAACTGTCAACAATAAGCTCATATACCACCATCTCCTGTAGCCTAAAAATGTCAGAAACACAGACGAAGCAAACAGTGAATTAACAGAAGCTACATCTTCTCAAAGGAGCATCTGCTTGAATAATAATAGAGACTTATGCATAGATGTCTCAAAAAACTTAGAATCTTAGACTTCTTCTTTAACTAGGTACTAATGACTTTTCTATTTGTTTTCCCAAAGTATGGGATTAAAGTTCAGATGTCAAATCTTACATTTGAAAAGTTAACCAAGGATGATGAGTGCCCAGCTGACATTAAAATTAACGGATATCCAGGCTTCTGGGGTGGTTTTCAATTTCTACAGGACCAGTTCCTATGTGAGTGGAGCCACATTGACTGATATCAGCTATGGATCCAGCTTATACTCCATAGGCACTTTAGTCCACCTGGGTTCCAAAGAGAGAGAGTATGAAAAGGGTGTCTGTGTGTGCGCACGTGCATGTGTGTTTATAGCACACTGTTCAGTTTTTCTTGATTATGGAGGTAAATATCAGGGATACCTTTTAGGTAACCCTAAAAGGAGAATATTCCACTACAAGAATATTACAATGGGAATAAGAACAGTAAAAACCTCGGCCAAGGGACTATCAGAAAGAACTACTCCCCAAGAAAATCAAGATAAATGCTTTTTCTTTTGGAGCGGATGCTTTTAATCTGCTCCAAAATCCTTGTATTACTGGTGACCAAACAGGGGGAGACATTACAATACTTACATAGGGACTGATTCAATGTCCTCCCTCAAACCAGCATCGGCAGTTGAGAGAGTTACTTGAACGAACATGAAATTACATGGAAAGTAAGAGAAATGGGAGCATGGTGACACACTGCATTTCTCAAGAGTGCTCAATGCCATGCAGAGAAGATGCTCCACTTCTTGCCCCCTTCTGCCTTCCCACGTTTTATTGTGTGGATCTGTCTGGTCCCTTGAACTGGCTCTGACTCTCAATCACCCATCAGAAAGCTGACTTAGATCACTATGCCAGCAAAAAACTCTTCCTTGCTTTTTCGTTGGCTAGGTTAGTTCTCCACCAGTTTAATGACTTCAGTCTCCAAGGGTTCAGTCCTCCCCAAGGGATCAAGAAGAGGAACAGAGCTAGTGCAAAAGAAGCAGCAGGAGCTGAAGTGAAGCATTTGGGTCCCTGGAGGAATGAGCCATCCCTTTCAGTGACAGGGAGTTGCTGCTGGATGCAGCCCATATCACAGAACTTCATCCTCAGTGCCAGCACGGTGAAGAACGGATTAGCAGAAAAATGGAATTTTGTAAAAAAACCCCACGAAGATATCAACAAGCAAAAATTGTACTGTTTCAGGCCCTATTTCTTATTTTCATGGGAGTCCCACTGACTCCAGACAGTAAGGTGCCCACTGTCATCAGACAAAGTAGCTGGCTCAGAGCCTCAACAGCCAAATCAATTATTTCTGTACCCTGTTGATGGAGATGTTGCCCTCTGGAATGAATGCTTTCCCTACACAAGTGCACATCACTGCAAGACGCTCTGACAAAAATGTTCAAGAATCACCAAATTCAGTGTCTCGCACAATACTGTGTCTCACAGTATATAAATTTGGAAAGTACCTATGGTCAATGAAGATAAGAGAGAAGCATTTGGGAGGGATTTTTACTTTAAAAAACCCCTTTGATATTCAGTAATGAGGAAATAAATGAAAATTTAGCAAACCTAAGCTCATTTTCTTCATCTTTTCTGAAACTACATGAAAGTCACTCTGAGCATGTGGATAGGTGCCCTTTGTAATATTTCTATCAGTTGAACAAATCCAGCATCCCTGCCTGCCCCCAAACTACATGGCAGAGACATGCTACCTCCAACCACTTACTTCATTGCTTTCATGTATGTTGTGATCTATCATTTGAAGCAGAAACCACATCACATTCCTCAGGATGAATGTAGTGATCAAGTTCCAGTGGATAATATTCCGCAGGCATCTGATACTCCTAAACAGGGAAATACATTTAAATCATCATATAGGGTGGATATATACACATACACATTAATTACTATACAAAATAAACAAGCTAATTCTGTTCACTTGCAAAATTCCTCATGCTTTATCCCCCTCCATTACCCCTCTTAGACTATGAAACAGGAGGTTCATCTGTCCAATGGGTCAGCAATAACACTCTATGAGGCTGTCCGTAGCTTATATCTTTACCAAGCAGCATACCTGGGTCTGGTCCCATTCTCTGGCTCTCAGGGTAAATTGCCCAGCCAGTGCCAAAGACAAAACTTGGATTTTGCAGTGTAGTCACAACACAAATAAATGACATAAATATAAAACAGCAACAGGAGGATGGCAAAATCTGTGCTTCTTTTCCTTGCTATGTACCTTTCTTCCAGAAACCACACAGCATAACTTTTGCAAAGCCATGTACAACAATTTGTCTTGATAACATGAGGAGCTCCCTTTGACAATAATCAATTCAAGCAAATGAAACAGGATCTACTGGAAAGACCCAAATATTCAAATGGTCATTTCATCCTTGGTTATCATTTTTGCTCCCCTCCACCCCATCCCATCAGCTCTATTATAATGTCAACTAGAACTGATAAGCCCCTAAACAACAAGGCTGCACTGGAGTCTGTTGCGTTGTTCACTGAAGGAGATTTGGTGACAAATATCTGCTCTGGAGTGGCAAAACTGGAACAGTTTCCATTCGGTCAGTCTCTTGAACAGGCTCGCCTGTGTGAAGTTCAAAGTTTTCAGACCCATTAACGCGATAGGAGAGCATGGACTGCCTGGTTTCCAGTCCCGAGCTCAGTGGGCTGTACCAAGCTTTCTTAAGATAGAGCTGCATATTCTCCTCCACCAGAAAATATCTGTGTCTGTTTTTAGTCCTTTCCCAGCCCCCTTTCAGATGCAATGTAAAAATATGAGCAGAATATAAAATATGAGCTACAATGAGTTGGGACACAGTGCCATAAAACAAGAGGGGACATCTTAAATAGTGCTTGCTGCTGAAAATGGCTCCAGGAGGCAGCCAGTGCATGATGCTGATGCTGGCAACCGAAGTACCACTGAAGCTAGACAGAAAGCTACTCATTCGGTCAGCCGAGACAAGATCATTTGTCTTCTCATTCTTTGTGAAACGGTAAAGGAAGGTGAGTGCCAAGCTGCAGTTTTGCAAGTAAATGATCTTTTCTCAGCTAAACACAAAACACTTCAGTTACTAAAATCACTTCCACAGGGGTTCAAATAGCCAGTGCATTTCCCGGGATCATCAGGTTAGGACACTGCATTTGCCATATCAGTCTCCCTGCTTGCAAAGGAAGCTGTCAAATAACATCGGACAAACACAGAAAGTGGTGTTCTCAAACCTGCTCAACTGTAGCTGACTGTAGCTCATCCCACTGACAGCGAAAAGAGAAGGCACCATCCAGTAACCAACTTTGCTGTTGCCTCAGGCCTTTTGCATAACAAACAAGCCAGCCTTCTTAACAACAAACACTATTTTGCTATCATAAAACACTTATTGCACTTTTCCTAGGACTCGGTTAGTCAGTTTTAGGGCCAGAAGCAATTCTGTTACGTCCTTCAGTCTCACAAGTCTCTCAAAGATTTCACAGCAATCCAGCAAAAAAATAAATAGAAGACCTCCCACATGAGATACTGCAACTTATAGAAAGATGCTCAGAGGTATAACCCTACTAAGTCAATGTCAACATAGCTTCTGAGTTTAACAACTCAGGCTCCAGGTATGAAATTGGTATTTGGTTTTGAGAGCCTCAGTGACTCATGGCTGGAGTCAGTTTGGAAAACAAATCTCAGCTGCTCAGATCCATTCACTTTTATTGAGGCTACAAACCCCAAAAACGTTGCTCTCAGTGTAACCTGTGCTAGCAGGGGACATGTCAGAGACATGTCTCACTTTGAAAAATTCACTTCTAACAAAAGGCAAAGGTTCACGGTTAGACTTTCAAAGAAACTAGGCAACCAACACATACTGCCTTTCATGCTGAACCCCAAGAACCCATCTGGCTCTGCACAGACTTTGAAACATGCTATTAAGGTCAGTTCTCTGTTGATAATTCCGCACATAAATGTCCTGCGGCTGCTGTTCATCTAAATGTTTTATTCACTCCCTTCAGGTTAAGTATTAGCAGATTAAGGATGGAGTTTGAAACACTGCTTCTAGGGGGAGAGGGAGGCAGGGGACTAGAAACTGAGGAAATTCAGGTCAAGCTGTAGAGTTACTGACATGAAATTAATTGCTTTTGAGAGCTCTAACAACAAAACAGATCCAGCACACTTGCCACCTGAATGTATTTCTTGACAAAGAGAAGATAAAGGAGTGAAAAAAAAAAATAATCCTTGCCGCATGCCTCCATTTAGATGTTGTTTAATCATCCCATATGCTGGAACATCACTAAATCTGGCTGGAAGAAACCTTAATCCCACAAGACTTACAGCAGGACATTGGACTGGCTGCAGAGGCAAAAAGGTTCAAACAAATAGTTGTAGACTTTTTGGTTCAGTTCCTAAAAAGAGCTTTTCCCCCCAGTAGGATCCTAGTCATCAAAATCTCATTCTCTTCTGTGGCTTGGAATAGAAAGACAATCTCAGCATCTATCGGCTGCATGATCTTTGCCCTCCTTACTACTTCTTGGTCATACTGGTTTGTCTTCTTTGCCCATCTGTCTGCATCTAGCCATTGACTTTTGTTTGGATTGTAAAATGCTTGGGACAGAGGCAAACTTTCAGTGATGTGTGTTCAAGATCCAGAGCAAGAGGGTCTGGTCTGTGTTGGGAACTCCCAGGCTCTACAGATAATTATGATCAAAACTCTCCTTGCTTACAAAAAGCCACATGCGCTGAGGGAAGATGTGTTCCTGGTGTAAAATTAAGTGAAGTATAAATGTGACCAGCAGCTGGAATTTACCAAAATGAGGCCTCAAGCCTTGTCAAATAATGCTCTGGACATGAAACAGGGACAGTTGGCTCCCATGTCCCACTACCTTTAGCAAAAGCCATACTTTGTGTATCAGCAACCTTGTACCATGGCCTCATTTCTTTTCTGAGACACTATGTGTGGCACGGGTGCTTTCACCTGCTAAAAAAGTAGATGTTTTCACCTGCTAAAAAGCTTCGTGTCTTTGGGGCTAACAGAGCAATGAAGAAGAGGCTGTAGAGCAAGCATTTTGCTTTTCCAGCTGCAGTCTCTCCCCAGTCACATTCCCCACCACACTACTGCCTTGGGAAAGCAGCACAAACAGGTGAGGGGCAGGATTTGCTTTGTCTGGGCCACTAATCTGCTGGTGTTAATAGCAGTTAGGGTTTTAATGGAAACACCAGTATAGTCAGGCTGAGAAACACGTCTGAAAGTGCCACAGAGTTTCTCAATGGCTTAGGCAGTGACGTGACCCCAGGCACAGAAGGGTTTTAACCTTTTCCCTTTTTTTATTTTTCCCTTTTCTTTTCTTTTAGTAGGAGTCCCAACTGGAGACTCTAAGTTTGTTTTTGTTTGTAGAGAGCCCAGAGCACATGGTTTCCATTTGTTTCTGTCTCCTAACTACTACTAGGACAGAAATCACAGTGGCAGTAATGCAATTCATAGCCAAGGGCAGGAAAAGCTTGAGAAATAACTGTGTCAGGTTCATACTGGGGAGGGAGAAACAGCAGGGTTAATATAGTATGTGGAGGCTGCAGGGCACAGCAGTGGAGGACTGCAGCTAAGTTACAATTGATGTAACAAGGGAAAGATCTTTTGCCAGCCACCTGAGAAAGCTTCTCTCATTTACAGGCACTGCTGGTGAATGTTACTATCATAATTCAGCATGGGTAAAGCATCTAGAGGGATACTGATGGAGACAAGGGTCCCCATCAGTCACTATTCACATGAGACTGTTCTGCTGGGCTCAGGAGCTAACCCTGTGCACAAAGCCAGATTGGAGTCTGAGGTGGACAGCGAATGAAGGACATGTCCCAAATAGGGCAACAAAGCTAGTGAGTAATAGGAGACCTGCAGCACAGCTAATGGTTGGTGAAAGGACAAAGCCGACCTTGTCATACTCACTCATCTCAAAGCCTGAGGAAGAAACTCATAATACTCATAATTTGTCCTCCTCAGGTCTTTTCCTGGCTCTTGGTAGAGGGAAGCTAGCTTAAATTTATAAGCCTTAATATCAATTTAAATACTCCTGTTATTCATGAAAATGACCTGTCCTTTTTTGAAAACTTGTTAAACAGTCATAACAGTCTTCTATGACAATGAGCTCCACAGTTCCTTTCTCCTTGATTAGTTATTGCTTTCACTCTGTGGAGTGAAAAAGTAAACAAGCCTGTGCTCCAGAAGCAGCAATAACTGCCCTCACAGACAGCACTGAAAAGGAATTCACACCACGTTGTAAATGGCAGGAGGTGGAATTTGAAACACATTGAGCTGTATTATAAGTTAGTGAATTGAGCTTTGCTAGAGTCACAGTGATTGACAACTCAGAAGCTAAGATTTGGGGTTATTCTTACCTCAGTAGGGAGATATCACTATTTGGAGAGTGTGGCAGTGACAACAGCAGGAAAATGAGAGCCCAGACAGCAGAGAGCTACCTTCTCAAGAGGGCAAAGCGTCATGTGAGAGAGGGGAGAAATGGTAGATGAGGGAACTGGGTGCTGAACTGCTGCTTCAGACACAATTACAGCATCGCTAGGAAGAAATTGTGAGTTACAGAGCCATTTAAAGTCCCCTAGCCTAAAAGATCAGATGATAGAAGGTTTCATATGCATCTTCATGTCAGGTAACATCATTGTTTATGCCATTTCCACTTGTTTTACAACCCTTGATGTGGATTGAATGGTGCAAGTGTAGCCCAGCTTCCAAGAACAGCAGCACAAGTCATCATCCCAGAGAGCCTGAAGGCTGGCACATCACAAGACACCATGGACTGAGGCTACGGGCTTCCATTAAAGAGCCTTTTCCTATATTTGCTTCCTGCCTTGATC